TACCTCCTTATCCAGCGAAGCTTCCATATGTAGAAGACCAGCACTCATCATGAAATCCTTGCTGACATCAGCTGTCGGCTGAGGCCTCGCTTCCCATGGAGCATACGTCAATTTTCGGATCGCCAGACGTACACTGCTACTGGAAACGTGCATTTGTAAGAAGATGAAAAAAGAGGAAAAGAGAAACTATCACAAAAAAGAATAAACAGAACGTTCTAGAACAGTTGGTATCATTGCATTACTCACTTTCGTCGCTGACGATCACTTGTGGTCGAATCTGGGGTTCCAACTATAGTTTTCAGTTCATAATCCACTCCACATGGCTTTCCAGTATCGCCTGGTGCTGGCTAAAAGCTATTCCATTCAACCAAAATTATTAAATATGCAGTGCTCTTCTTGAAACCTCTTTTATGTAACAAAAATAGTCGTCATAAGCCATCTAGGATGAATAGCTTTCTGGCCCATCACAATAGCAACAATGCCCGGGGGACCGCATCTACAAAGTAACTCAGCAGGGCTTCCCATCCCTGCCTGAGTCCGAAATCCTATCTAGCGGGAAAGAGTGGTCAGGAACGACCAAAACTGTATAAAAGTACCAAGCCATAAAAATCTTGAAAAGCAGTGAGAAACTGGTTACCCTTATTCTCCTACGCAGGAGTTTGAGCTTTATCCCCACTAGGGAGAAAGCCCAAACATGGAAAACACCCCAGTCGAAGTTAACAAATTCGCAAAGCGGTACCCAGGGATCGCATAAGCAGGGATAAATTTAATTTAATGAGTTAATTGTGGCACTCACGGGAGTAATTAGGTCTCTAATCAAATTATGTGAAATTTAAATATTCAAACTCAACGAAAGCATCGAAAGCCTAATGGACATCGGCTAACAAAAGTTATTCCAACCTGAAGAGTAACACTGCTAGCACTGCGTGGTGGGACTTCAAACCAGAACGGGAACGCCAAATCGCCCAGCTTCCTTTTTAATCGCTCTTGAAGACGTGTGAGCGGTCGCGTTTGTTGTGACGGATTTGGGGGATAAACCTGAAAATCGTGTTTCAACGCAAAAAACCAAACTCGAACAGCCTCTGCCTGCTTCATAGTCCACGATTTGGCGAGCGACAGTCGCGCGACCGGTCGCGGACCTATCGAGCGAGCGACCAAGCGACCAGTCGCGCGATCGGCCGTGCGCCAAATCGTGGACTATGAAAGCAGCCACTGGAATTTACCTGATACTGTTGTGATATCAAATCCTTTCGGAATGTTAATCCCAGCACATCTAAATCTTCACGGCCATACCGAAACGCAGCCAGTAGAGTTGCAGTCACCCGTCGTCCTTCTCGAACAGTCTCCTCGTCCACCAATACCATACCATCTGATGATGCAACAATTCAATTCAGTACATATTGGGTCAAAATTCAAAGCCAGCAAGTTTCATTGAAACAATTGCGTGTCACAGCTTGTCATACTGTATTTCTATTTCATTAAAGATTTCTTTTTCATTCATGACTCAACGAATAAAAAGGAAACCTTCAATGAAATAGAAGTACAGTATGATCGCGTTTACCTGGACTCAATAACGGTGACTCAATAGCTTTACTCCCCTTGCCTTCATTACTTTGTTAGAGGAAAACAGGTTTGCTAATGGAGTGACTGTCCAATCTGCAGCACTTCGCAAAAAAACTTTCCAGAAGCCAAAATGCTATGCCATTAGAAGACGGCTAAATCTCAATCATCCGTTAGACTGAGCATCGCTCCCAGTTTTTCGCTCTCAGGGAGAAGGACAAGCGCTCCAGGAACACACTCTCGTTTCAATCAATAAAACGACAAAACTAAAGGACACAAAAACCCAACTGACCTATTAAGTCCACATAATCCCCACGATCGATAAAATCGCGTTTACCTAGATATGTCGTAATCTGTAAAAGGAAATTAGAGTACTTGAAAAGTACATATGATGAAAAATACGTGAAAACTGGGTTTGTAATATGCAATTTACTTGATAATTGGAGCATTTTGTATCCGCAAAGCCTCCACAAAAAACACTGGGACGTCAGCCAGCTATTCCACTTCTCACTTGTACTTTAAATCATACCTTACCATATGATTTCAAAGTAATGGAAGCTAATTGTAAGGCTCTTTCAAGAAAATGCCTAGTCTGAATGTAACGCACGAAAAAAAAAACATCGCACACAACGGAAGTGATGAGTCACTGCCACAAACGCTTCCACGGAATCAAAAAAAAAAAAAAAGAAAATCGCTTTTATATACAACTAACTCTCTTGTACTACTACTTTCTAAGCTTTGTTCAAGGGAACAAGGAATGGAACGGGCCAAAAGGAACAAAAGAGCAAGAATAAGGAAGTGGAGACAGCGATTTCACAGCCTATACTGGTACATAAACGGCGGGAACTTGTTTTCAAATAAACACAAACTAAACAACTCTTCCCATTCATCTTCATTTCTGCATCCTAACAACTATCGCCTCATGCATTTAATATCCCAACGTCCCTATCCAAAAATAACGCTCCCACCAAACTCCCTAATAGCCACAGTCAACTCCAACATGAATTTGGGCACACAGGATGTTATACTTCATAAATTTAGGCAATCATCAGCACCACTCGTTCATATCGTGAACCTCGAACCTCTTAAGCCATGCCATTTTTTCTTCACCAAAAGTAATCAACAAGTAACGATGACTGACAGGTGGAAACTAAAAATTAATTGTAGAACGCGCCAAGACGTTCCGTAGACTAGTCTAGCGCTTACTGTAGTAAATCAACACTAACATGAGCCATAAATACACGAGAGACTTCCGATCACATCAAAGAAAAAATGAAGTTTGATTTGTAAATTGAAAAACAAAAAAGTTGAACTTGTAATTTACAAAAACCTTTCCAACTCACCTTCCCATTTGGGCTCGTCTTTTTGAAGACCCTGGAACAAATCTCATATGAACCTAATGAAGGAGGGAAAACGGAGAAAATAAGTGGGGTTTTGGACAACAGATGAGCAAATGAACTTTACCTGGTCCCCGTCTTCTTGTCCTCACTTTCATTATACGCCATAATTGCGTCGTTGAACTAATTATGAGGTTGTAGAGATGCTTGGAAGAGCTACCACAAGGCCAATGATACTTGACGAATACTTTACGTTTCAGCAGTGATTGATTAGCGTCAGTTAGCAACCGATCTTTCAAGTCGACAAATGCGCTCATACATCACGGATGACTGTCTTCCTGCAACATTCACATCTTATTAGCATTATTAATGCCTAAATGAAACGATGATGACGACCAATAAACAACCAACAAACACCATTGCAGATAACGAAACAAAGGAGAAAGAATTGGCGTGAACATGGAAGTCATCAGCGATCATTCAGACCAGCAACAGAGAGATGGACGAGGGCGGAGGAGAGGCTCGAGGCAATCGTCTACGCAGGGGATACACGCCCCCCCCCCCCCACAACATCGCTAATTATTTGCCAAAATCGACCGGGGATGTTTCATTCTACACTC